ATGGGAAGGACTCCTGCCTTGGAGTCAGACAGGCCTGGATTCAAGTCCTAGCGCTTTGATTTCTCAGTTTTTAAGGTCAGCAAGTGACTTCACCTTTCTGAGCTTCTGTGTCCTCATCTATAAAGTGAGGATGATACTGCCTGCATCACAGGATTGATGTGAGGACCAAACAAGACAGGTGTCAAGTATGGGGTCAGCAGATGGCGTGGTGGTTAAGGCACTGGGCTCCCACATGGCCGACCATGGTTTGAGTCCCAGACCTGGTGGCTTACTTTCTCACTTCCTTCTATGTCTCTTTCTATGTCTGTGGTGAGCACACATACCCTATGACAAACTTTCAAATAGTAACAATAATAATAAAAAATTTAAAAATAATTAAAAAATAAAAAAGAAGTGGCTAATGTGGTTCTGAATCCTCAGTAATTGTTCACTTGTTTGTCCATCCCTCTCTTCTCCCCAACCTTGTGACATTAAATATGGGACTGGGATTGACTCTGTTTAATGACCATGACACAGTCTGCCTGGAATGAAGGAGGACTATGCCAGGAGTATAGGGGCATCCTAATTGCTTCAGGGGCTGGTGAGATCTTGACTCCATCACACTACTGACTTTTCGTGTGATTTGGGCAGATCAGGTGACAGTCTATGTCTTGGTTCACTCCTCTGTGAGATGGCGATGATAACTATTATGTCCACTTTATAGGGGTTATGTGAGGTGGTTAGATTTGAATGGAGTAACAGGGTGAGCCGCTTTTACATAGTGGGAATTACTGTGCAATTGTCAGAAGAGGTAATGTCCATAGTATGTTAAAGGGAGATAATGTCGTGAGGATTACATACAATAGTGCATATACAGTTTTAGCCCAGTGTCTGGCATTATAGTACGTACACAGGTCGTAAGTCCTGGGGCTGCTGCTGGTGGTGGTGTTCTGTTCATCATTTTTTTTTTTTTTTTTTTTTTCGGTTTTTGTCACTCGGACGTGTGGGTGTTTTTTTCTTCCTTTTTTTTTTTTTTTTTTTTCAGGTTATCTGTCATGGGACAGGTGTGCTTACCAGACAGAGAGGGAAAGTGAGAAATCATCCCCTCCTTCATGGTGAGGGGGATAGCTATGTTGCAGTCCCTTCTCTTCTATTGTCCTCTCAGGATTTGGGGCATGCGCACACATGCACCTAGCATAATTTTCAAGCCACCAGGTCCAGGACTCAAACCCATAGAGTTGGCCATGTGGAAATCTAGCACCTTAACCACCATGCCCCCTGCTTTCCCCTGTTCATCCTAATTTTAAGAAACCTTATTAAAACGGAAAAGATAAAGATAAAGATAAACTTGCAAACAGACTGCCCCAAAGCGTACAGTAACAAAAACAGAAAATACTTCTATTAATTTGAAGAGAGTCAGGAAGTAATAGTGTAATCATAATAACACAACACTTGTTTAGCAAATAACCAGTTTAAAACATGCCTATGTATTTATGATATGTTTAACCCTTACAGCTACTCTCTGAGCATGAGGCTAGCATTCTCATTTGATAGATGAGGAAACTGAGACTCAAAGTGGGGAAATGACTTGCACAGTGTCACTCCACCAAGAATTTAACCTGGGACCTACATTACCAAGATTCGAACCTAGAACCTAACCTAGCACTCTGCCTCCTCTAGCCCTCCATCCCTGTCCCCAGACTATATTCAAAGACAAAGCTCAGCTATTGTTCCTGAGGAGGCTTGCAGCCCTTGTTCTGTCTGCCCCAAGCTGCCAGTCTGCAGGTGCTGGTGTACTACTGGGCACTGGGCCACACCCAATGCCAGGCAGCTTCAGGGGGCAGAGGCATCTCAAGGGTGTATGGCAGAGTGAGGAAGGACTAGAATGCCACTCTGAGTTCAGCACTCTTCCAGGGTATCTGGCAGCCCCATAAGCTTCGCTTTTCCAGCTGAAAAACGTGCAGCTGTTGCTATGGCAAGAGCCTGGTCGCCTCCCTGCCTGAGACCAATTGCTTCAAGCCCTTTTTAGTTTCTGCTCTTTCCTGTGCATTTCATTCCCTATTCCTGGCCAAGTCCTGTGGTCTGCAAATAAAGATGACAAGCAGACACTGTGCTGCGGAGCCCACAGATCCAAGGCACCATGCTGCCGCCTTCAAAGCCTCCTGCCTATGGCTTTCTGCCCTCAGTCCCATTGAGATATTGCAGAGCAGCGTAGCAACTACTAAATCTTATTGCATTTTGTTTTTAATTCTTAGAGGGAATACATGCTTATTGCAGAAAATTTGGAAAATACAGAAAACGTTAATAATTACTCACTTAGTAAATGCTTCCTGAGAATGTGTGATGTGCTAGGGCCTAGATGAGATGTGATGAATGGGGGATATGAATTCTATGTTACTTGTCTTCCTGCCACTAAAAGGTAACTTCTGTTAATATTTTGGCAAGTTTCTTTCCAGTTTTTAAAAATATGTAATTTTGGGGCCAGCCTGTAGGTCAGTGGTTTAAGTCTCACTGCTAGGGAACTGGATCCCATATAGTCCACAGTGGTTCAAATCCTGGCCTTAGCTGTTGAAGAAAACAACAGGGCATGTGTGTGTGCATGTGTGTGTGTGCATGCACACCCAATATCCTAATATGGGTAGAGAAATGAGGGAAAGA